TAATAATTCTCTTACGCATATCAAAAACATCAAAAAGTGATGCTGGATCACGATGATTGTCTCTGTTTGCAGCTATGACACTGTCATTCACATAATTATGCTCAGACATTATATTTAAATTCGTTGATGAGGATATAGTGCTATCTGAATTTAAATCAATTAGATTCCCAGTTTCTGTCGAGAAAGATGAAACGGAGAAATAAATATAAAAATAAATTTATACATAAAAATTAGAATTCAATCTACGAGTAATAACATTTTAAAAGATATTACCTGCCAACTGCTGATGTCTGTCTGCAGCAGATAGGAATGAATCAACTGCAATATTTTGTATGTGAGTACGTGATGCATTATTTTGATGATGTTTTAGATTAGGCAGTGTAGATGCTGTATTAGGCAAAGGAGGTACTGGGGGTGGACCAATATCAGGAGGTACTTTCCCTGGTAGATCATTGTAATAATCCCTGTCTACTTCCCTAACACCGTTTAGTATAGGGCTAACAAATAAATACACAAAATTATAAACAAAGACTGTTAAAACTTTAGATTTATAAACGCATTTATTTTTATAACTTACTGCAGAGAACTTGGTTTTGTAAGAAATTCTTTAAACCTGAGTTCGAATGCTTGTCCAATAGTGGATATAACATCCTGTGCTAAACCACCTGTACATTCAAGCACATAACAAGCACGCCATTCTTGCATATTTTTAGCAACATATGCAACAAAATCTAATATTTCCTATTACATAATAAAACATAGTTTTTTAATTTCAAAATAAAAATTATAATATATATTGTGAATTTTTACTGTAAATTATATGCAGCTTTATTTCATATATGTACAAAAATAGTGAAATAAAATGAACAAAAGATGAAATGCAATATATATCAATGTGTACGCTCTTTACCGTATCACCGCCTGAAGCAAAAGATATACGTGGCATATCATGTTTCGCAATAATGTGTCCAGTATCAATATTAGTCAAGGATAAACTGCAACTGCTAATGGTTAAAGTAACAGTAGCAGCGCTATAATCCATACAAGGTTTATTTGCTATGGCTCTTAATACCTTCTCATCAACCTAATGCAAAAAAATTTAATTATAGACATAAATATAATTATAAAATATAATTATATCTATAAATAAAAAATAATTCTCTATGAAATCTACCCTTCTCTTTTTGTCAGCAGACTTTAATCCGGCAGCTTCGCAAACTCTGTTTATGCATTCTCTAAAAGAAAGTAAAAGATTGTGTTCATCATGTACTTCAAAGTATCCTCGCAACAAGTTACTTTAAATATAATAGTTTGATAACTTACTTAGCTACGCACGAACGTGTTTCAAAATCTAAACTTTTCATAGACGTTTTTACTTCAAGACATCCAATATACTGTAATGTAAACAAAGATTAGATAAAAGAAAATAAATAATTGATTGAATTAATAGATTAATAGATTATCTTTTCAGTACTGGAATTAATGATATTTTCTTATGCGTTTATATGCTGCCCTTCCCTTGCTGCTTTCATTTCTAATAATTAAGGTGTGACGCTTTACCTTAGGGAAATTTCATGAAATAAATTTAAGAGCTCATCGTACTACACAGTACTAAATAAAGTGTGTTAACAAATATTATTTCATTGATAATATCTGAATCCATTATTATATAATCATTATTATATGACACACACACACACACGCGCGCGCGCGCGTTTGCGTGTGTGTGTGTGTGTGTGTGTGTGCGTGCGCGCGCGTGTGCGTGTGCGTGCGTGCGCGTTTGCGTGTGTGTGTGTGTGTGTGTGTGTGTGTGTGTGTGTGTGTGTGTGTGTGTGTGTGTGTGTTAGGTAGAAACGTACACAAGTACATAAGTTACAAATTAAAAATGAAATATTTTAAAAAATTACATTTTGAATAAAACATAATAAGATATAGAAAATAATGAATAACAGAAAAAATATTTAGTTTTATCTAATGATAATAAAACAGCAAAACAAGAAATAAAACAAATGATAATTTTAATATTCAAAACGATGAGAATCAAAGTACGAATTTCTAATCTATAGAACAAGAAGCTTAAAAACTTCAAGCTCTGTTCTTTTATCAACTTTATTACTAGAATACAACAGCAAAAAGAAATAATAATAAAAATTTCTTTAATTAAATGATTTGAATACTGCTCCATTTTTAAGAAAAATAAAATATATTATTTTTCTTTTTTTATAAATACAATCTAAAAATACATAAATAAGTCAATCAATGGGGCATAAGATATCTGTAATAAAAATCATCACACAAATAGATAGAAAAATTCTCCTTAAAATCTAAAT